AAAAAAAAAAAAAAAAAAAGAATACTAATTGTGTGGCTGCCTTTTTTTCTTATAGTTCTGGGATCAAACCCATGGCCTTGCTCATGCTAGGTAAGCTCTCTAATATTCAGCTTCTCCCAACCCTGTGTTGTCGTGATATCTTTAGAGTCTGGGAAGTAAGAGTCCTTCAATTTTATTCTTCTATTTCAAGATTGTTTTACCTGTTCTGGGTCACATTAATTTTCACACCAATACTTGAACCAGCTTGTCACTTTTTGCAAAAAGTCTATTTCATATTTTGACAGAGATTGCATTAAATTTGAAGGTTAATTTAGGAAATACTGTCATTTTGACAAATTAAGTATTTCAATTCATGAAGATGGGTTGTTATTCCATTTATTTAGGTCTTTCTTAATTTATTTTAATAATGTTTTGTAGTGTTTAGTGTACATGTTTTTATTAAATTTATTCCCATGTATTTTACTCTTTTGATTCTATTATAAATGGAATTGTTTTCTTAAATTCATTTTGGATTATTCGTTGTTGGTGTATAGAAATGTAAATGACTTTTATATATTGACTATCTTACAACCTTGCTGAACTTATCAGTTTTAACTTTTTTTTATAGATTCTTTAGAATTTTTTATATAATCTTTCAATCTGGATACTTTTTTTTTCTTGCCTAATTGTATTGGTTAGGACACCTTGCACAATACTGAGTAGAGGTGACATGAGCACAAATCCTTATCTTGTTCCTGATGTTAAGGAGAAAGCATCCAGCCTTTTAGCACTAAATATGTTGTTAGTTGTAGTGTTTTAATAAATGCCCTATATCAGGCTAAGGAAGTTCCCTTCTATTTCCAGTTTATTGAGTGTTTATCATGAAAGGGTACTGGATTTTTATAAAATGCTTTTTCTGAATCTACTGAGATGTTCATGTGATAGATATGGATATACATATAAAGAAAGATGTCTACCTCTAGTTATATATAGATCTATATATATAGATATGCTCACTACATTAATTGATTTTCATATGTTAAATCATCTTGAATTCCTGAAATGGGTCTTGGTTATGGTATATAATCTTTTTCACAGATGTTTCTTGATTTATAATGGGGTTAATCCTGCTGGTCATATCATAACTTGAAAATAAATTGGAAATGTATTTAATACCCTTACTCTACTAAACTTCATAGCTTAGTCTAGCTTACCTTAAACATATCCAGAACATTTAACAATAACCTACAGTTGGGCTTAAGCCACCTAACTCAAAGTCTACTTCATAATAAAGTGTTGCATAACTCATATTATTCACTGAATGCCTGTATCCAGAAACACTGGCAATATAGAGCATGGTATACAATAGGCGGTTTCCCTTCATGACTGCATGGCTAACTGGGAGCTGCAATTTACTGTCCCTACCGAGCACAGGGACAGAGTATTGTGCTGCAAATAACTAGACCACGAAAAGACCAAAACCCAACATTCAAAGTACAGCTTTTTGTCCAATCTAAAAAGATCTGCCTTTTAATTAACGTGTTTAGGCCATTTACATGTAATGATTTATTTTGTCAAGTTTTTGAAAAATGTTTTAGATTGTTTTCTAATACTTTAAAGGTATTATAGCTTGGATCTTAAGTGTTCCCCAAAGGCTTATGTGTTCCAGGTTTGGTCCTCAGCTGATGGCACTACTAGAAAGAGGGGGAAGCTTTGAGGAGGTGGAACATAGTAGAAGGAAATTAGGTCACTCAAATACAGTTTCTACTAAATGTTTGTATTGCTTCTGCATCTCTAAGCTAGGGGCCATATATATGTGCTATATATTTCATTTTTCTGGTATTTCTGGTGAGGATATTTGCATCTATATTCAGAAGAAATACTTGCCTCATAAAATGAGTTAGAAAGTGTTTCCTCCTCTCCTATTTTCTGTAAGTTTGTGTGGTATTCCTATCATTTCTTCTTTAAATACTGGAATTCATCAATGAACCCAACTGGTCCTACAGTTTTCTTTATGGGAAGGGTTTTAACTAAAAATCCAACTTTTAAAATAGATTCAAGGATATTCAAGTTATCTCTTCCCTCTTGGGTGAGCTTTGATAGTTTGTGTTTTTTAGATAATTTTTTATTTTTCTAAAAGTGATCAAATTTATTGGCACAAATTGATCATAGTCTTCCTTTACAACCTTTCAAAGTCCATGGATCAAGAGCAGCATGTTATTATAACTTCTGGGTATTGGTAATTTGTGACTTCTTTCCTTTATTCTTGCTCAGTCTTGGTTTTTACTGATCTCTTCAAAAACTACTTTTTTAATATCAGTAATTCTTCTCTACTATTTATGTTTTCTGCTTTACTAATTTCTGGTCCTTATTATTTTCTTTCTTCTGCTTTCTCTGGTTTTAATCTATTTTTTTTCTATTTCTTGAGTTGTGGATTATTGATTTGAGCATTTTCTTCCTTCCTAATATAAGCATTTAGTGTTATAATTATAACACTATATACATAATAATATATAATTCTGTGTATTTTGTTTTACATATTTCAAGGCTCTCTTCTCAGCTACACTTACTTTCAGGATTATAATGTCTTATTGATAAACTGGACCTTTTCATTATGTGGTGCTCCCTTTATTTCTTGCAATATTCTATGTACCTAAGTCTCCATTATAATACACAGAAATTTTACTTTTCTTTTGATGGTTATTTGCATGGTATATACTTTTATTACTTGCCTACTCACATATTAAAGTGTTTTTTTGTGTATAGAATATAGATATGTTTGCTTTTCTGGCCAATCTAAAAATCTCTGCCTTTTAATTGAGGAGGTAGTAATTACATTTAATGGCTTACTTTGTCTAGTTGTTGAAAAATATTTTAGATTGTTTTTCTTCCAGTACTTTAAAGGTGTT